GTTAAGACTGAGTCTTATATTCATTTACTTTGCTCAACCAAGTAATCCCCTGTCTACCAGTTCATAAATTAATCTGGTCAACTCCTTAATATTGATTTCCCATTTGAAGCTCATAACACGTGTGTAGCGAGGAGCAGAAAAATATGTGCAATGAATTCACTTATAAGTTAAATTAAGTAGACATGCTGAACAATATTCAACGTTATAAGATATTACAGAGGCTGAAAAATACGGCTCCTATAAAGGCAGGTGAAATGAGTGGAAATAATCGATTAGGAATATGTTAAATTTCCCTAACATTCCCAATCGGACGGCATCTAACTACAGTTTATAGGCCCTTCAGACCCTAATGGGTAAAACGTCTGGTAACTGCGGCCTTCTTGACTTGACGCCATCACATAGAATGTGTTGGTAGTGGATGTAGTCGTACCGCAAACCTGGGGATTCTAGAAAAGGTGTCTTGTTTTGCATAGATTTGAGACCACACGTCATAGCTTTGGGTAGAACAATAAGGGGATTTCTATAATTCGGCGTCCGAGTGTTGCCAGTCCTAATGGAGATAGGACAGAATACCTTGGTAACAACATATTTACTCTAGTTGTCGAACGTTTGCTCACAGTCAATCGAAATTGCCGTTTATTCAATGCCTTATATATAAAACATATGCATTTTTTTTCGGATTTATCTAACTTCTTTAAACCGTAACTATTTCCATTGTGCTTTCTTCTATTCTCCGCTGCACATGCACGGTGTCCGTAGTTTTTCTACATATGTTCGATGCAAACGCTCATCTTCTCATCTCCTTATTTTCACTGAAAACCTAATATATCATGTCGGCCTAATCATTGTGACATTGTTGAGAGAAAAGTGTACAACGATTACCATAAATTCTCTGCTTTTGTCCAGGCAACGCCAGACCTTGAAGATTTATTGTGGTCAACTGGTTGCGTTTTCCCTGATCTGGTCAATTGCCGCTTGTAGTGTGCGCTCAACAGTTGTCGGCTTTTCTGCCGTACGTTTTCGTATTTAGAATATAATTGTACTCTTTATGTCTATTTCTGTTGAAAGACACACGCACAGCTATGTTGTGTAGTGTATATCTTTAAATATCTTGTTAAACTATGTAGTCATCGCTTATTTTCGATTACGGTGTATATGCATATTTAAAGCTATTTTAAACGTGATCCACTCGCTTCAGTTTTGGTTTTTATATTTTTAAGCAGGCGCTACTATCGCTTGTTATGTTGCTGTTTGTGTCATACCTGTCTACTGTCTTGTGCAATATACGTATATCGGTATCAGTACCGATATACTGTACGTACGTACGTACGTATCGCCAGCCATTAGTGTAATCCACTTTTATCCCTTGTTTAACACTACATAATTACTTATTGAATCATATCCCTCATGCGAAAGTCCATTAAAGCTGATTTCGCAAGTTCCGCCCCTTTACTTCGCTAAGACGTCAACTTAATTTCCTTTATCATGGTCATTTTTTGCAAACTTACTTACTAGAATGCAAGACAGCGACTGGGAAAACTGGGGCTGACTCTACGCCAGTCGGTATGCCATAATCTCGCATAAACTGAGGCCATGGTTTTATCGCGTGTATACTGTTAGTGTTTGTCACCGCAATGCTTTCCTTTGCATACTCATCTCCTTTCTCTATATAGACAATCCGCATACACTTCGAAATCGGACTTATTGATACGTTGGCCTTTGTGGTTGAAAGTAGATCACTAGTTAGAGCCCTATATTCTGAAATAATTAACTGATTAAACCTTTTTTAAGAGACCAACAGATGTAGTACATTTTGTCTATACTGTCGGCAGCCAATAATTGCATCTACAGTTATTTTCTCGTGATGTTATAAATTACTTAGATTTGTCTAGCCATCTGTTTTGATCTCGTTTGTTCTCATAGTTCATGATACATGGGTGCGTTCGGTTAACAGTTTTTGCGGGATATAGATCAGAAAGCGCCTAGTTACGTCGACAGTTGTTCTGGCTGGAGCACCTTTAGCTTGTTAAAATGAATGTCATTAGATGATCATGCGATTTCGTATGGCCATTAACTGCAAGGGCTTGTATAGAACACCTACCTTGGTATTTGAAAAGCTTATTTAAACGCTGCTTGTAATAAGATACCCCAATGGTTTGTCAATTTGGACAATAACAGCTACTTGCGCATTCAACAGTCTGTCCTAATATCGGCACGTTTAATCAAATCGCAAAGTTCATATAAAATCTGAAAGTCTTGAAAGCAATCGAGGTTAGTTTAAACATACTTATATTTCCCTAAATGCACTGATTCAATTATTTCTGCTCGAATTTGTGTGAGCTGAAATGCTAGTCTATATTTGCTGTCCTGACAAATTGACCTATTTCGAATAACATGAGTGGCTGGTAAAATTTTCCTTTTCTTCTGCTGAGCTTTAGGACTACATTCCGTTTTTCCATATCGAATTCACAAACCTCTCCTAAATAGCCAGATCTTGCTCTCGGTTCTTTACAAAGGTTTTTTGTGTTACAGACTGCCGTTTGTCCGTTTTTATCCAAGCAACCCTAATGCGCTTTAAACCCAACTTTGTTGACACCATTCAGGTAAGTGCTTTTTTTTATAAAATAATATCCCCCCACCAAAGCTCTGCCTCATCCTCGTACATGTATATCAATCCATGGGCCGTGTTGTTTCTATGGACAAGACCAAAATCGAGGATATTCGCCCCAGCCCTGTCATCATGATACCTGGTGATGGTGGTTGCCAGGCCTTTGCTGAGCTCACTAACACGCCGTCTACCGCTTTCCCCATCTGGGTTGATCTGCGCTACTTAATAACACCCGGATCCTTTTCGAAGTACTTTAGGTAAGCCATATACCTGTCTTTTATTTTATGCACTCCCTAGGCTTCGGTTTGATCCAGCCACGGGTCGTACTTATGATAACGAAAACGTAAAGGTAACCTTTCCCGGTTGGGGCGAAACCTGGTCGGTGGACAATTTGGACAGCCGACCTCACGATGCCACTTTGTACTTTGGGGAAGTCACCAGGACTCTCACCACCAACAATTCCTTCTACCAACCCAACGTCACTCTTCGCGGTACCCCTTTTGATTTCCGAAAAGCACCTAGTAAGTTCTCCTTTGCTCTATTCTCGTATGTAGATGAGAATGAGGATTTTGGCCCTCAATTGAAACGTCTCGTTGAGGAGACATACGCCAATGGAGAAAATACTCGTGTCGTAATCGTAGCGCACAGTATGGGCACCCTCTACGCTCTTCACTTCTTCAAGAGTCAATCAGATGCATGGAAGAAGCGTTACATAAAAGCATTTGTTGCTACTTCTGGACCGCTTGGTGGGGCCGTCAAGGCCCTGAAGATTGAAGCTAGTGGTAAGTTATGCGCTTTTAGCCTTCCGCTTCACTGTGCATCTTGGTTAATTTGGAGTAAACATAGTCTGCGTTTGTCACAATACGGCAGACTTCTTCCCCGTTCCCAAAAACTAGACCGACAAGCTGAGTAAATTCATCTTTTTTAGATGCGCGGTCTAAGACATTTTCGGCTTTCACCGTATTGCGTAGCACAGCCACTGACTAGACCCGAGTGTCAGGGTCAGGGACAGTAAAAAATAGTGAGTCCAAATACAACAAAATCCTCGAACGCCAGCTAAGTCAGAAAAGTTTTCGCTTTTTCGGAAACTACTGGCTGATTTCGGAAACAAACTATGTATGTTAAAGTTAGTCAAAGTAAGAAGAAGGTGTGATCATTGGGACAAGAGTTTTATTCGCCTGGCGTTTCAAAATCCGTCGCGATTCCTTCTTTGGAGACATTAGCAGAAACCGGCCTGCTAATGATCCCCGAACACTGTACATATCTGTCATTGATGATGTGTGCTTATTTATGCTTAATCTATAAAAATCCATTGGTTTCGATGATAGGAAGTCTTTGAATCCAACTTCCACCTTGGTTCTATTGTTTAGAAAAGCGTACGTAGGCTTGAAAAAAAGGGTACTCGATATGTGAAGGATTAAGAGAACGTGGAGGATGTAGTAACATCTCGTAGTAGTATCTCGTATTCCATGTCATTGGTTTTCTGTACTGCGTTGTCGTAAAGCAGAATGAAGATGCTCTTATCAGTGAAAACTGTAATAGACAACAGATGGCAGCATAACCCTCTAGTGCTTTCGGAAAATATTGGAGTGCCTCGCCACGATCATACCATTGCGCTAATTGCTTAGGGTTGTCATAAAGGATCCGGTTTTCGATGCATTTATGAATCATTAGCCTTTCGTAAAGAGAGAGAGAGAGAGAAAAAAAGAGCATTGCGCTTTTTGGCCTTATCAATTTGCATCAAGTGGTCGGACACCGTTGACATCAAGGGACTCAGACATTTCTCTGATATTTTTTGGGGAGCTTTATGACCGAGGTTTCATTTCGTCTTTTTTATTCTTTTTCTTTACATATATTACAAAATTGGAATTAAAGCGTATACATCAATCACTCACCAAACCTGCAAGATATTCTATAAAACACTGCAGAAACTGCAGGTTACTTTCAACTTTTAAAAGCCCGCCTTTTCCAAACAACCGTCCCGAGGACGCACATGCGCGTAAACGGACTCATCCCATACCGTTCTCAATCGCAGGTAATGTTTAACAGCTGAAGATGAGCTTGGGCGCAGTGACTGACAAAGCCAACTGGCCTGTGTACGCTTGTCACACAGGACCTTATCGCTAACATAAAATGATCCTGGCTACTGAAAATAGACGCTCTCGGATCGCAAATTTTGAAGACTTCCTACAATCTGATCCTCAATGCGATAGAAGGCTGACTTCTCTTCGCAGTCAGAACCTCACAATTCGCTATTGTCCGCTCATGGCTGGCTAGTAGCCTTTGTTGGATCAGTAGCCCCGCCGGATCGGCCCCAATCCCGGCGGCGAGGAGGGGAATTCGGAGCAGCGTGGTCGGGAGGGGCTGCCCCGTCGTCAAAAACAGAGATGTAGAGGAGGGGAG